TTTTTTTTTTTCTCCTCCCTCTTCTCTAGAGATTCTGCGAACCTTTCACATCTCCCATTTCACCACCCTTCCAAAGTCTTAACTTGAGGAATACTTCTTTTCCAACCTTCTCCTGACTGACCATATGGTTCTCAGGTCTGCTGTTCATCTGACTGCACCGTAAGAGCAGACACCCGGGGAACAGAGTGAGCTCAGCTGAACATGCAGCAACATAACAGCAAAGGAATGAGAAGCAAAAAAGCAGTCAGCAATTTTAGACAGCCTATCTCCACACAAAGTTTTCAGTGCTTCGGGTCTCGGTACCCTTTGAATGCAGCTATCCACTGAGAAATGTCAGCTATCTGCCAAACACCCATAAGCAGAGCTGCAAAGCAGCCACTCAGACTGGGGACTTATTATGCATAAAAATTGTGCCAGCGAGATGGAGCAGCCTGTTGTTTACAACAGCAATAGCTGTTCCAGAGTCATTCGTGACTGCAGCTAACATATGGCTCACAGAGTGCCATGGTAAGCATTGCCTCAGGTGGTTCACTAACCCAGCATCTACTGCTGGTAGCAGCCAATATCATAGAGCTTATTACTTAATTAGCACAGTGCTTTACTTGTGTTAGTTCATTTAGAAAGAAAAAAAAAATACGAAAGACCAGATAACAGAAAACCACTTGGAGAGCTGTAGGAGACATGGCCAACTCTCACTGGGAGATAGCAGCCTAAGAAGTGCAATATCCTAACCTAGCTATCTCTAGCATTGCTCCATGAAGATAGGTAGACTTCATGCCAGAGACAGCCCAATGTTCAGAGAAGTAGGAAGACATTATCTAGGTGTTTGCATGCCTGAGCTTTCTAAAAACTGTATCTCGGGATCAAAACTAAATAACCTTTCTCCTTCGAAACAACCTCCCACCCCAACAAAGAACAAAAATCACAGAAAAAGAGCAGGCATCAATCCTGCTCCCATTAAAATATTTCAATGAATTCAGCAGCAGATACAGGATAGAGCCTTCAATGAGCCTGGTGTCCACAGAGAGCACACAGAAAATGTCAAGAGAATTAACCTCCCTTTATTAGCCAGCCACTACCGTGTGCTATGTGGCTCATAACAAGGTGTGTAGTGGTGAAGCCAAATGTCTTGCCTCCTTACCTGCAGAGAACAGAAGGTCTGTGTAAATGGCTCCATTCGAACCAAGTAAGATGCTACTATAATTGCTGATGAATAGTGAGTACAGTAATGGCACTGGGCTGACAAGTCTCCTAGAAGTTGGACAAATCAGGTTTCAGTGCAAAAATCAACCATTTCAAGTCCATAACATCCTGTTATCATAGCAGAACTAAACAGGGAGCAGGTCTTCAAAACACTTATCTCCAAAAATCTGTGAGCAAAAGCATACCTTGCGTATGTGCATTTAATGTGCACAGTTACCACCATCTCTGTATTCTCCTATGTGCAGAAGGCACATAAGGTAGAGTTCTATGGGAGTCACTTGTCTTTAAACCCTAAGCTGCTCTGTGTCCAGAAATACAGGAATTTCCTTGGCATGTTGATACTTTAGCCATAGTTTTGTAAAGTCTTTGGATGATCATTTTCAAAAGGGATTCATCAGCATCACAAAGGGTCTGAGGGAGCCCAAGCTTCTGATATATGATAGTCTCTAAAATCACTCACCCTCACTCTTCTCTACCTCATTGTAGCGCTGGATGAACTTGTGCTTCCTCTCTGCAGTCTGAGCTCCCATGGGCTTTGACAAGTCCCGAAATGTCTGCGGACTAGTAAGGTTTAGAGTCTGAAAAACAAAATACAGCAGAGGTGGAGTCTTAAAATTCCTGGAGTCTCAAACACCATGACTAACTCAATGACACTGACAGTGGCAAGGCTGCATTGAGAGTTTCATCTATTCAAGAAGGCCACAGATTCAGTGCTAACAGTGCAGCCATGTATACAACTGGGGAGTGATTATGGAAACAGAGTAGCAATGAGCGTCACTTAAAGCAAGTGTTCAAAACTGAATAAAGGATTGGACAAGTTGCAAACTGTTTCCAAGAGCTGTCTCTTGCAAACCTGCATTGTCAAGAGTCACAGATGCCTGTCCCTATTTGCCTGCTGGGTGGATGCAGCCTGTGCCTAACTAGGAGTGCATTTAACTGATGTTCATCCACCTTGTTAAGGCAGAAGCTATCACAGCATCCTGAGTTGATGGCTGAGTTGAAGACAAGCCTATTCTATAACATGGTTATTCTATAAAGGATAGGTCTGGTTCAAACTATCTTAATTTTGAATCTTTGATCTAGACCCCTCTGCTTCAGTGCCATCACTGAAAAAGCCTCTATAAGGCTACTATCATAGAAAGCAGAGATATCCTGCTAAGTTGCAAGCACCTACCTGTGAGTGATAATCAGCAAGGACCCATGGAAACACAGGATACTGCATGTAGTCATTGTAGCTGCGGCCAGCCAGTGTGTTCAGGTACATGAGGTAATCAAAGTTACTGATCTCCCTCTTCTGCCAAGACAAAGAAACAACAGTTATTAAAGCCTCCTATGTAAGAGTCATCCTGAGCACTCTGTGCTTCCCCCATTCACTAGGACAACAAGCACAAACAGAGCAATCTGTCAGTCACTGCCATTCTCATTGGCACATTTTTTCATGTAAAATAATCCATTCACCAGAATCTCACTCTTCTTTTTTTGACTCTTCCTCAAACAAACCATTTGCATTTTTTTATACAGGGCTTTTACATTGTATTTGCAAAAAATTTCTCCCAACTGACAAGCAAGCAAAATGCACACAATCTCTGTAACAGTACACCCCAGACAACAGTCTATCGGGTACACTGATTTGCTTGAACATACAATCTGTGACTAGGTAGTCTTCAACTTGGTAGTCTTCTTTGGACTCTCCTTAGAAACGTGCATGTGATCACTCTTCATGTACCAGACAGAAGCACCACATTTCTCTGCATTAACAGGATGCAAATATTCTGCTCCTTTTGCCAATATACTCACTTCAAGCAGTGAGAGAACAGCTTAGGCCTTGAAGCACACACAAACTTTTCTTTATACAGACACATAGACAGGTGCTGATTTTTTTTTCTTCACTTTTCCATATAGAGCCAAGACTTAGCTTACCTGCCATTTCTGGAGCATTGTCTTTTCCCCTCCCGAGTGTTTCCTGTACAAAACAAACATTTGATTGAAATAATCTGCTTCTGAACGAGAGAGTCAACACCCTAGTTTTCTGTGCAATGCTCCCTTGTTCTCCCTGTTTTCATCCTTCAGAAACAACAGATTGCCTATACTAGGAGAATATTTATGTTTCATCACGGATCAAATCATTCCAGGATCACAGTGTGTCATTGGTTAGGTTAGTGCTGGGGAAGTTTCAGAGACCAGAGATGATAAGATACAAGGCCATAGATGATAAAACAACTGCATGAATAACTAGCTGCAATCTCATGCTCTGTACTGGATCATTCTAGAAAAAACACAAAACTAGTTTTAAAGTAGCCTCAAAGACCTAAACGCTCTAGGACCACTACAGTTTTATTGAATTTGCTGTAGTAAATTGTTGTGTGCTCTTATGATCATGTATCATTATTTTACTGCCCATTCACTCCTTTATCAGCTAACGGTGTACATTAAGGATAAGCACTAATTGTATATGTACAATTACGCCCAGTATTTTATTTCTTGCTTCGGCTCCTTCTCAGAGGGAAGTGTGTATCTGACAGAGGGATTGTACAGTCTAGGGAATAATCTATCTTACAAACAAACAGCAAAATCCAGGAACAATTCTACCTCATGGTCTCCAATTCTTAGGCTTTGCTTACTTCACCCGAGTACATAAAATGTAGCAATTACGTTTATAGCAACCAGGCAACACATAAAGGGATCATCCATATCAGATACTGGAAGACAGCACCTGGGCTCTGTCCTAAAAATCAATTGATTAGATGATGTTTTCAGTTGCACAATGTAAAAACTAAAAAAAGGCCATTGACTAGAGTGCAATTTAGTGGTTTCGCACCCCAATTTTTGAGCCACGTGTAACTCAACGTGGACATTCTGAAGTGGAAAACAGACATCCTGAGCACTTAAGGTTTGCAATACAGCCCTCTTATCCTGTATGTAGATTTCAGAGAGCTTTGCAGCACTGGCTTTTCTAAATCTCAGACAAACATTTGCAACTCATGCAGAGTATCTTGAACGGAAGGAGCAGGATTCCTGGTGTTGACTGAAGTATGCTTGCCCCAGAGGGACCAGGTTAAGTTCTTCCTTTTTCATGGCAGCAGACTCACAAAAAGCTACTCCTGTTAATTTTATATTTGTAACAGAATCCATAGGCAGTGAGTTACATAATGTATGGGCCTGTTCAATCCCCCCTGCTCTCCAACATTTTAGAGTGGGAGCACTATAAAGCCCAATTAAAACAACACACAGAGGACTAAACTATCCCAGTCTGTGTGTACATTATGTGAATACACTAGATATATTAAATTGGGTGTGTTTTTATGCTCTACTAGAACTACTCTTGTTTGTAGGCTTGAACTGCTAGGGAAGTCTCTCCAAGTGTCAAGACAATCCTCACTTTGCAGACCTTGGAAGTCACTATGTAACTCAGAGGGGCTGATGTGTCCACCTTATCATAACACGCATGGACAAATACAGCAAATCCCCTCCAAAAGCCATCCCTCTGCTTCTCAGAGGACCAGGCAAGCAGTTCCCTCCAAGACCCCAGAGATCTGGAATTCTGCATTCTCCCTTGTTCCTTCATAGGAGCTCAGAACACACTGCAGGTATTTCTCCCTTTTTCCTAGCAATCCATAACCAAACAACATTTCTCCAGCCAACACCTCCCTGGCCAGCACAGCAACAGCTCAAAGTACATCCACAACTGGAGCTATACAACAGCAGTAAGTGCTTAAAAAAAGAGGCTCATTGGAAAAAAGAAAGGAGAAAACTACTTTATAAATGCAAATGCCTATATTTCTAGAGGGGATGCAGCTACAGAAACCCAGGAGTAATACTTGCATATCTTATTATTGTAAGGTATTTTTAGGCAGTTTTCTTTTTGTCCTCCATTTTTCAGACATATCAAGTCTGCAAAACATGGCTGAGGTTCTCCTCAAGCAACTTTTCTTGAAGAATCATTGCACTCCAAAAGCTTTATGAGGTTAATCCTCTTTATAAGCCACAATCCAAGTTCAAACTTGGGAAAGTAGAGGTCAAGCAGAATGTCAGCTCTCTTTCCAAAGCTCTACAATCACTCTCAAACCTTGGAAAAGTGCCAGATTAGATTACGTTTGAGCAAAGGTGCAAGATCCTTCTTGTTTGAACATACGAGTTTACAGTTAATCTTACACTATGCTTCAAGAAAAGAGATATAAAAAATGTATAAATAAGAAAAATATTAAAGTAAAACTATACCACAGACATGGTCCATGCCTTGTCCCCTCTTAACCAACAGAGACTACCGCTGTGCTTCTGTAGCATTCTGAACAAATCACTAGTGTACTTCATTTTAATTCCCAGCACAAAGGTGGCCGCATGGTCAGACTTGACAGCAGTGCTCCAGGCTGGATCTGCTTTGTTCACAGCACCCAGCAACCCTAGGACAGGGAAGGAAGGAAGGAACCTCCTCCATTTCTGGGACACTGCTTGCATCACATGTATTTACTGGCCTAGGTCAGACTTTTTGCTTCAAAACTGCTGCAGTCAGTTACTACAGCTTAGTGGCCCCAGCCACAGAGACAAATTCCAGTAAATTCTTATGATACAACAGAAAACACTCTCCCAGAGGCAGAGCAACAGAAACCAATGGCACTTTTAGGGAGTCACAGACAGATTAATTCAACCTGCAGCTCACACCCTCCGCTGCATTGCACAATCAATCTTCCCTACTCTATTCATGTCCATCTAAGACTCATAAATGCTGTGACATCTGACATAACTTGCAAGTTTTTTGCAGTGCACTACAGCCAAGGGAAGTGAAATAACCAAGGAATTAAAATCAACAGCTAAGATAACAAATAACTTCTAATGAGGTCCAGATCTTTTTTCTTTCTGCAAAATCAAGGGCTAACACTTCCAGGAACTCCATGCAGTACAGTTTGTTTCCCTCCCACCTGAACTTGCATGCTGGAACCTAATGTTATGCTAACCATCTCCAAGGACCCAGGATTCTTGTTACTTAGGAACACAAGTTTCACAGGCTATGGAAGGAGAGCTGAATAGAAAAGGCAGTCCTTTTCAGTCCTCCTTTTTTCTCTACATACACAC